TCATTATTTGCATAATTATTCTGGATTTGCATAATTATTCTGGGTCAGTGAACCAAAATATAAGGCTCCATGCACACTAGGAGCAGAAAAAAAATGCTGGAAAAACAAAAAATATTCAATATGAGCGTTTTTCCCTGAGGGCTAGTTCACACCAGATGCAGTCCAGTGAATATTTTTTCTGCATCAAAAATACATGCAGCGGTTTCCATGTATTTTTTTTTTTGCCAAAGAACTGTACTGGAACACAGCAAAACACATCAAAAATGCACTATAAAGGAGTGTGATATGAACTGTAAGCAAAAACGCATCCGGAATGCATTTTTGTGGTGTGAACTGTCCTAGAAGGTAACATTCAATAGATTAGGGATCTCCAATAAAAGTAAAGAAAGTAATGTTTGCATCAGGAGATATGATCATTTAGGTGTTTCTGCTAGTAAACTTTTTTTTTTTTATTGCGGCCAGGAAAGATTCTGTTCTTCTTGACCTGCCATCAAGCAGGGAAAACCAACAATGGGAGGGTGGGTCAATTACAGGAAGGGACAGTATGAAAAATGCTGCAGCTTGCCCAAAATATTCTCTCTTAAAAGTTCAACTACAGCCAAATCGGTTTAGTTTTGGATAGAGTAATGCAGGGGACAAACGAGAAGTGTTTTTCTTTTCTATTCAACCCATCGGCATGAACAAAAAACAAAAACAGAGTTTGCTGGACTAACACAAGCCATTGGCTGCAAGCACTGACAGGATGCTAGTTTTCCCACAAGCCCATTCGACAGAAGCTTCTGTAGAACAGCTGTACAAACAGGCCAAAAGGCCTAACTCTTGCCTGACTGTTTTTCAGATGATTTTCAGCCCGTTTGTACTCTGCGAAGGGTGAGGCCTCATGCGCATAGGATAATAATTTTTAGACATTAATTTTTTTTTTTTCTGCCTCTAAACACCTCTCTGTGTTAGCCTGTGTCCATGCACATGCAGGCATCTATAGGCAGGAGCATTTAGAGGCAAAAAAGAAAAGAAACACACCACCAGTGCGCCCTGGAAAGAAGCATTTGGGCAGAAAAAAAGCCAAACGCAAATTAACACTAGCTTGTTTAGGTGCGTTTGTGTGTTAACCTCCCTGGCGGTCTGATTATGTCAGTATTTTTGAATGTCAAAGCGGTACATGGTTTTGCATGGAAATTTCAGTGTCTGATGTCCCCATGAATCACTATCGCTCAATTCTGCAAGTGGTTCTAATTCACGATCGCTGTTTTCTAGTTGGTCTAAAACCGCTTTTGACCTAAAAGGGATGTTTTTTGGACGCCATGGATGTTCTCAGGTTTCTAGGCACAAAGAGCAATAAAAGTGCAGGCAGGGCGCAGGACAAAGCACTCGGAAAAAAAAACTGAGGTGAAATGGTTGGATACAGTAATGTAATCCAAACAGATTACAATGTATTGTGTGTATGTCATGTTTTTACTTTTTTTTTTTTTTTAGTCTCCTGCCGGTTCCGCCCCCCCCCCGCATCACAACGCTCGCAGGGAAGAGAACCAGGAAGATGGATGCAGACATCAGCGGGAGGACGCAGCGGTGAGGACATTGGCCGGAGGACGCAGCGGGAGGACATCGGGGGATCACAGGGACAAGGTAAATTATACTACACACAGACTACAGTGTAATTTCGAGTGTAGCTCAGGGTTACTGCTCTTGGTACTGAAAATTAACCCCGAGCTACACGCGGGATTACCGCTAGGGAGGTTAATGCATTCTAATGGACAGAATAAATTAATATATTCTGGCCAATAGAATGCAATAATGCCAAATGCACATTAACATGGGCGCAAAACGTGGCTTTAGGCACATTTTTTCAGCAGCGTTTTCCTCGGCGCAAGGACATCCAGGGGAGGAAAAAAAAATCCTCTGTGTGTGATGCTTAAAAGGCTCAGACTTTTGTTCCTAGATGTGCAAAGAGGAAACCGCTAGAACAAGAACATGTCCAGATTTAATTTTATTGAAACTTTTGCAAAGGAGTTCAAAGGATCCCAACCAGAATCTGGAGCAATCATATTTCTAACCCTCAAGATCCCTCCAATCATACAGCAGTACACCTTTGTTAAACACTGCCAAATCATGAAGAAAGGGAAGCTTTTGAGCCTTGAAAAACGCATTGGATTTAGAGGATGAGCCTTAATAAAAATAAATCTGATCTTTACATATTCCAGTTCTGGCTCCTTCCTCTTTGAACATCTAGTCCTTACTTGCAGTAAGAGCAGACCTTTGGGCACCCCTCCTGTGAAAGTTGCCTAGCAGTAACCATTCCCTTCCTATACTACCAGCACCCCACATCTTCTTTCTACATTTTAGGTTATTGTTGACGCCTCCCCACTGGTGGGATTTAATATCACGTCCTTTTCATGTGATATTTCCTTAACTGCAAAATGGACAGCAATAAAACTTTTTCTAACAGAGTGAAGAAGAAAAACTTCTAGCAAGTTTTAATGTTGCACCCCACCCCATCCCATTTTTTCTCCTGTTGTCACAAGGACAGAAAGCGAGTGAAAATCCCCACAAGGGGGCATAGATGGCAGGCAGAAAAATGTCAACTTAGATTCAAACCCTTCCAAAATGCATCAAAAGCAAAAAATAGGTTTTAATTATCGAGAGGAATTGGACATTTTTGCAGGCAAGCTAGAAACTGAAAAATAAAAAGGAATACATTATGATCAGTGATGTAATATAAGGGCAACAAATAATTCAAAAGAGCCCTGGAAACCACCCAAATTATTCATCAAAAGAGGAAGTTTGAATTTTAATGAACTGATAACTGGCCACAGAGATGATAACAGCAACCATTTGCATGCTGTAATGTAAAGTAATAGGTAACAGAGTGACTCACAACTAAATAAGTCGGAGGAAAGATACACACACCTCCACACTTCTAATAACATATGGATTTGCAAGGATTTTCAGTTACAAAAAGGTAGATTAAAAGTGAGCAGACAGTGCTGGATTTTTTTATTAGTCACTCCTGTAATTGAAAAGTATGCTAAAATGTGGAGAATCTATAAATCCACATAAGGATTAGCATCCTGAAAAGATGAAACAGCAAACGGGTAATGTGAATATCACCTCACCTTACTTTCAGGTAAACTCAATGGAAACTCCCAAACGTTTTCCCATTGAATTGCAAATATCAGAAAACACCTTTAATTTGCCATTCAGTGCAAAATGACCTTGTCTGCTCATAGCCACTGTTCCCCTCCCCCACCTCCCAGCAAAGCATTCCAACCTCCTCATCCATACTACAGGAATCCACCCTGGATAATTATCCAGTGGAGGATCTTACCTGGGTAGATGATATTAATAACCCATCCAACATCACAGTGTTTGGGCCTGGTGATTGGCCTGAAAACTGCCACATCCATTTGGTCCCCACTTTCCCCCTCCCGACTGGCAGAAAACAATGATTACTTTAAGCAACAGAGGACTCTGCAGAGAGGTTCATCCATCGATCGACTTAGGTAACAACCAACCTGCCTGATTTTTTACACATGATTACTGTTGGCGGCTATAGCCGCTAGAAGTAATCATTGTTTTCTACCAGTCGGGAGGGCCCCCTGCAGTCAGAACACAATAACGCTGTGAGAGGGACACAAATCAGTGTTGATGGGGGAATTTTTTTTACCCATGCAAACTGTGGTTGCAGGAAAGAAAATCTAATCATCTATTGCTTAGGTAGCCCATACATGACTATTTTCTTTTCCTCCACCACGGGTGGAGAGAAAGAAAATCGCTCGATTTCCCCATCAACACAGTTAGTGTTGATGAGATAATGCCTCCAGAAGCACTATTGTGTTCAGCCAGCAGAGGGGGGTTGGGGGCCCAGCTGGGAAAAAAAGAGTGATCACGGTTAGCGGCTATAACTGCAGGTAATAAATCGCATGTAGAAAAATTCACACTGGTTGTACCAAAAGTCGATCGATGATCTGCCCATACATGGATTGAATCCCAGCCATGGATTTTGATCCAGGTATCGCCGGCTTCACTTTGCTTGGAGGCTGTGCTATGAGCAGACACTGCTACTTTGTTGGTGGGGGGAGTTGCTAAAGTCTGACAACTGGTGCTCTGTCAGCTGCCTGCCCTTAACACACTGTTTTAACCATTCTGGTTTTTCAGTGTCGAAGTCCAGCAGACAATAGCCAGGAAGTGTTAAGTTTCAAGTAACTTCTGACTCCCTGACATACTCTGAAAGTGAGTAAAGTCAAAAGGGGAGGACAGATTTATAAACCTTTCATAGACTTCAGTAATATTATGAATGTGAATATGCAGATTGTTGCATAAACTCAAATCTACAAATATGACTGGTTCTCTTTAATAAATAATGCAAATTGCATTGAAGATGTGTAAAGTACAGTTAAAAGTATAGGATTTAATTTTTTTTAAATTATATGATCATACTTACCTAGGTGGATCCTCTGCCGGCTCTAAGTGTGATAACTCAATGGTCACATGACTGCTGAGTTCTCACAGCCGCTCTGAGAAGAGAGTGGTGACTGTCAGTCATGCTCTCCGCTCTGTCCCCCTGCACGTTCACTGGAGCACTGGGCTGTGGAGGGGGAGGGAGTGGGTGGCTCAAGCCCCAAGCGGATCAGTGCCACTCCAGAAAGAATAAGCTGCACTCCTGTAATCCACAGGAGAAGTACAGCCAAAACAGCTTTGGCTATCTCCTAGATTGTACACTCCAAGGAGCAGGGCCCTCCTTTCCCTCTTGTATTGAACTGTATTGTTGCTGTATTGTCTCCCGTTATATTGTAAAGCGCTGAGCAAACTGTTGGCGCTATATAAATCCTGTATAATAATAATAATAATATACTTCTCCTTTAACTATATCAATCAGATTTCAGTTTACTGCAGCAGGATCAGGTAAAAATGAATTTAGAGTGTCTGCTTTGTGTGTATGGATTTTTCCCAGTGCTATTACCGTATTGAATGCACCTGTATTGCAGTGTTTTATAGACATTTACCTTATAGTCCTGGCTTGGTTTACTCTGCAGTGTAGAAGAGACATTGAGGCAGACAGACTGGATCTTCCGGAATAGACCTGGTTTGGATCCATGTTGTACCACTCCTTCTACCTTGAGTGCCATCTGCTGGTTGCTCTGCACGGCTATTGGCTCTGTAGGGTTGCGGGGTGATGGAGACAGGGCGAGCTAAACCAGAAGAGACGACATTTCATGTCAACTTTACAGCGCAAAGTCTTGAACTGGCAGTTTCCATAACTACACATTCAATTTTTATCCTTCTCTTTGAAGCCAAGAAAGTTATCTTTTGATGCTAGAAGTCTGGTGACGTACTTCTTGGTGCACGGCATTCGGAACAGAAAAAAAAAAAGAAGAAGACATCTTAAGGGCCCTCAACCTCTGACCTGTCGCTGATTGTTAAGCAGGCTCTCCACTTACCTCTCTGTATACCTGTTCCCAAACCCTAAACTGAACTTATTTAAACCTTTAGAGCTCATGCACACCATCATATTGCGATATTAAATGTGCCAAAGAAGCGCAGCGCAATGCATCTGTATTATAGCACACGGAGCTGTACAGAAGTGAACCATCTGTACACTGTGATACTTACCTTATTTAGAACCTGAATCCCTGGCACTAAAAGCAAACAGTCCCATACCAGAGTCTACTACCACGATATCTAGACATTACTGCTTCACCCCATATGTTCAATTTCTTTCTAAAGAGGAACTGAACTCTGGAAGCTGTACCCAAAACAAAGGCAGACAAAGAACAAAGGACTAGTCACCTGTCTCACCTGTGGTCGACTGATCATTTCTCCCTTACTGACTTACTATGTCTTGTTCTCCACTGTGTCAATGCGTGGAGGCAGCCATCTTGGTAGAGGCAGGGCTTTCCTTCCTTATGTCAGAGACTCCAGCAAGGAGAACACTAAGCCACACAATAGGGACATCACCATCTCTCTTCTCCAAATCTCCGGACACTAGGGGGTTTATTTACTAAAGCTGGAGAGTCCAAAATCAGACTCCCTTCTGCATAGAAACCAATCAGCTTCCAGGTTTCATTGCCAAAGCTTCATTGAACAAGCTGAGGTTAGAAGCTGATTGGTTTCTATGCAGAAGGGAGTCTGATTTTGGACTCTCCAGCTTTAGTAAATAAACCCCTAGCAGTCAGAGGCAGCGATGCCTTAAAGTGGTTCCAAAGGCAAAAAGGTTTTTTACCTTAACGCATTAATGTAAAAAAAACTAAATACTTATCAGAGTCCTACATTGATCCAGTAAAATCCCTAGTAGTGTTGTCATCCCTGCCCAAGTTCCCTGCTGGACAACAGTACAAACCCGTCTTTCCATCTCTATAACCAAAGTGTTCTGTAGTCCAGCAAGGGAGAACTTTGGCAGGGCTGACTGCATTGGTAGGGAAAGGAAGTCCTAAAAATCGCACTGGTCATTGTGGGGCACACTGGTTGGGATTTTAGTGCAGCAGAGGAAGTTGTCAGCTTCCGACAGGTAGTAAGGAGCTCACTGAATTTCTGACAGCACCAACTGGGAGTTTTCTGTATCTGCAGTGTTTATAAAGAGGCATCAGGGATTTTATGCATGCACTGAGAAGTAATGAAGTTTTTTTGCCCCAGAAATACACTAACATTTAAAATGGTACAGGTCCACTTTAAATACAGTGTTAGTACCTGTTTGTTGGTTACATTTTCAGATTGTTGGAAGAAATCTAATAGCGGTTAGGTAAGGTTTGGAATCGGTCTCTGTAGTACACAGTACTGTCCAGAACATTTTGTTTTCCATAGTCTCTTTTTTTGCATGGGCAGCATATTTGAAAGCAGCCATCTGCTTGAATCTTCGTGTGTTATGTGAAGGGAAATTAAAGTGCTAAATAATTCTGCTAAAATAAATAAATGTATACACTCACCAGCCACTTTATTAGGTACACCGGTTCAATTTTCTTGGTAACACAAATTGCTAACCAGTCAATCATATGGCAGCAACTCAATTCATATGCTTACTACAACCTCCATTATATTTTGTTCCAAGCATACATACCAGGTACACCTTTGTGCTTGGAAAATAAATAAAGCCCCAAGTTTATTGCATTTAACTCTGCAGCATAGATAACAATGAGACAGATTATGTGTAATGTTTGTGGGTTAATGTTTCTCTGCTTTTCCCTTTAATGGCAATCTGGGATCCAGCCACACCCTCAATATCCTTATTGCATCTTAAAAGGAACTGCAGCACACAAGTAAATTGAAATAAACTATTACCCCTGGTTCACATATATCCAGCCCACGTTTTGCGTTGGCATGAGAGCCCATTCATTTGAATGGACTCCCGTGCCCGAGACTTGCAGTGAAGAAGTCCCTGCACTTCTATGGAAACCACAGCCCACACGGGAACCTCGGTTCCCAGTACGGTTGCGATTTCCAGTGCGGGCGGCGTGTCATTAGAATTAATGGCACCCGCCCGCGGGTCCTCATTCTTCTGTGTGGGTGGTTCTGCATGGATTTTTGTGCGGATCCGCAGCGGCACCACCTGCACATATGTGAACCTAGCCTTAAGGTTCTTTTCAGATCTGTGAATTGTAGTAAAACACCAACCGTTTCAGGACACACTATTGGTGTACAAAACACCTTCACAGTGTCATTTCCTGTTTGTGTGATTGGCTCACTGACATTTTCAGAACTCGACACTAAGTTACAAGTTATATTTTAGGCATCCTCTACAACGAAAACTTAATTTTTGGTGAGATGTTCCCTAAGGGTTAATTACTTTGAAAGAAATGTTGACATTAACTTTCCACATTAAAAACACAGAGTGCATCAGGTGATTATAATGAAGCAGACGACAACTCCTCAGATTCAGTCTGCACAGGGCATGGACAAACAGTTGTTCCTTCAGAGAAGAAACAGGTAGGAATCTGCAACAAAGCTTTATAAAATCTTTGCAATGTACACAGATACCCACAGGAGATTGTTTTTTTTTTTTTCACTGCAAAAAGCAGATTGACTCTATAAAAGTGACTCTATAAAAGTGGTCATAAAGGCTGAAGGTTTTTCACCTTCCTGCACTGCATGCATGAAGGTAAAAAGCCTTTGATGTGCTGCTTCTCCCACAGCCCCCCTAATACTTACCCGAACCTGATCTTTATCCATTGCTGTGCACGGGATCCTCAGCTCTCTCTCACTCATTGGCTTAGACACAGAAGCAGGAGCCATTGACTCTCACTGCTGTCAATTACAGCCAGTGAGGAGAGAGCAGAGGGCTTAGGAGCGAGCACACGCAAGTGCCCTCAGAGCAAGCCTGATCTCAATCCAGCGATGTGCACGAGAACCAAAGCTCTCTCCGCTCCCCCACTCCTCACTGGCTTAGATACAGCAGAGGGAGCCATTGGCTCCTGCTGCTGTCAATCGCAGCCAGTACGGAAGGAACAGGGGTGGGGCCAAGCTGTGCTTTGTGCGTCTTATGAACACACAGGGCTGGCTCAGGAGCCAGCATACATGGATGCCCCCCGTATTGCAGTGAGGGTCTAGGAGCACTGGCGGGGGACGCGAGAAGAGGGGCTGCTCTTGCACAGAGTAGGTACGTATGATGTTGGTTATTTAAAAAAAAAAACAAAAAGGAAAAAAACAGAAACTTTAATATCATTTTAAGTTATACTACCGCATTAACAGGCTTTTCAGCAATGAAGTTACCATTAACCTAATACATATGTGGAAAGGAGTCTACAGCACCATCTACTGGATGGGAAAAATTAGGTATTCAAATGCAGAATTTTATTCTGGCTAAAAAGAACATTTATCCCTGCATATTATAAAGAAAATGTATACAAACCCTGAACAATTGCCTTCAAAGTACTGTTAAGTACTAGAACTGTTGTAATATTCTGCTAAAATAAATATATGTATACACTCACCAGCCACTTTATTAGGTACACCGGTTCAATTTCTTGGTAACACAAATTGCTAATATGTTTATCACACGGCAGCAACTCAATGCATTTAGGCATGTAGATGTGGTGAAGACAACTTGCTGAAGTCCAAACCGATCAGAATGGGGAAGAAAGGGGATTTAAGTGACTTTGAACGTGGCATGGTTGTTGGTGTCAGACGGGCTGGTCTGAGTATTTAAAAAATTGCTGTTCTACTGGGATTTTCACACACAACCATATCTAGGGTTTACAGAGAATGGTCCAAAAAAGAGAAAATATCAAGTGAGCGGCAGTTGTGAGGACGAAAATGCCTTGTTGATGTCAAAGGTCAGAAGACAATGAGCAGTCTGGTTCGAGATGACAGAAAGGCAACTGTAACTCGAAAAAACCACTCGTTACAACCAAGGTATGCAGAATAGCATCTCTGAACGCACATGTTGAACATGTCAACATGTGACTGGAAGCTACAATTCACACAAGCACCCCAAAATTGGGCAATAGAAGATTAGAAAAAAACGTTGGTCTGATGAGTCTAGATTTCCCTAGAGATGGCTGTGTGTGAAAATCCCAGTGGATCAGCAGTTTTTGAAATTCTCAGACCTGCCCACCTGGCGCAAACAAGAATGCCAGGTTCAAAGTCACTTAAATCTCCTTTCTTCCCCACTCGGATATTCAGTTTAGACTTCAGCAAGTCATCTTCACCACATCTAGATACCTAAATGTACTGAGTTGCTGCCATGTGATTGGCTGATTAGCACTTTGTGTTACCAAGCAATTGAACAGGTGTACCGTGTGTGTGTGTGTTTATGGTGGTCAAACTGTGTATATAAAATATAGTCAGCATGAAGGGCAGAGGAAAACAAGTCATTTTCTCCACTATACAGTCTGACAGATTATTCCTGAGGCCTATCACAGCTGGGGAACTAGCTGGTGGCCATGTGTCTGAGGAGTCAGTACATTTTAACTTCAAAAGCAGAAAGTTCAGCTGATGCCTGAGCCTGTGGTGTCTTCATTTAATGACACCACAGGCTCAGGTAGAATCGACCAAGAGGAGATCCAATGAACCAACTCAGACGAACTATGAAAAAAAAACAAAAAACTGCAGTGATCTAAAAAAAGGAACTCCAGGCAATACACAGTTCAGCGAAAAATATAAAACGTTAAATGTTATTTAGTGTCAACTGATTTTGAAAAATAAAAATGTATTTATTTATTTATTTCAGGTACTTATATAGCGCCGTCAATTTACTCTG